AACAACAACAAAAACACCAACAGTCGTACCGCATTTAGTATTTGACACCCTGTTTGAGCCAACGGCACAGCAGGGCGGCGGTATATCTCCACCACAGCATGACCTCTTCTCCATGGAAGATGGCTGGTTAATTTGGTATGTGGCGTTGTTTTGGACAATTTCTGGAGCGTTTTGGTCGATATATCCCTTCAAGGTAAAATTTACAGCGTTTATGCAGGTGGTAACATTCGAAGCCACTTGATCATCAGATATGTTATTTGATGCTGTATAAGTAACTGGTACTCTGAAATAAACATGGCTAACTCCTGGCGGAGATGAAGTTATATTTCCGACTGTGACATTCACCCCATTGCATTGTTGAGGATTATGATAAAGATAAAGATAAAGATAAAGAATATAGGATATAGAACTGTAAAACTCCTCTGTGATATATCTGATGGCGTTAGTTGTAAGGCCTCCAGGGATTTGGTAATGGAATATGGCGTCTACCTCAAAGCACCGCTTCACGTCGTAGTTACCAATCAATGGAGGGTCTGCATGGTAAACACAAAATACTCTGAACTTGATGCTTATTAAGAGAAATAAAAAACGGAACGGCTATTCGAAGGGTATATCCAGGGCGGAGAGAGGTTGGGAAGCTCACTCCGCCCTGGTACATCCGAGCTCATGTGCGCCCTTTCTATCCCATCTTACCGACACATTTCCTGATATTGCGGGCTCACCTGAGCAGCTGGAATTGCTGGTCATTCCTGTTTTTCCAAATGTTTGTTTTCCTCCTGGACACTGCTTGCATGAACTTTGACCTTGTTCGTCCTGATAGGTGTCTGAAGGACAACGCTGACATAAACTGCCAGGAACAAAATGGAAGCCTGGCAAACAACCTGAAGAAAGGAGAAAAACTGGGCTTAGGTACTAGGAATTATTTATTGCCTGGGAGTAGAGGAGGGGGGGTGGTCGGAGGATGCTTGTCGTGTCACAATAAAATTGACTCGATCCATCCTAAGGTTTTGTAATATTCTTACGATTCTCCCCTCATTGGCAGCTAATTGCCCCCCTTCCCCCCATGTGAGCCATTTGAGTTCCAACTCAAAGTCGTCCGCCCCTCCCTCCAAACAAAATCCATGCGTTTCATTGATTTACCACATTTAGCACTGGGCACATTAACTGAGCCCACGGCACAACAAGGCGGCGGTATATTCCTACCACAGAAGGTTCGCTTAGCTGATATAGTGGATAAATTATACTTAATTGTCAAGGTGGGTGCCATTTTGGGTCATAATTACGCGGAGTGTCGCTGTCGACGAATAGCTTAGTATATCTTGTCGTCAGGGTATTTACACAAGCTGTAATCTTTGTTGAAACTTGACTATCTGCCATATTCGTGGATGCTGTGATTATCCTTGTGGATGGGGGAAGGGAGGGGTGGTCGTAGCGTGTCATAAAATAATACCTTATCCCTCCAAAACACTTTGTAATATTTTTATCATCCTCCCCTTATTGGCAGTTTCGTGGCAGTCAATATTTTATAGTCCTCCCTAAAACTCTGTTTGTAACCAATGATGCCCCCCCTGAAGGCCATTATATCTAGAGATATCTTAAGCACTCAAGTAGTCGAGAGAAACACGTGACGTAGTCACGCGTTTTCTCCCACAATTCTTTCGTACTCTGGCCGCTTCCTACGTGGTTTCCGACAGAACAGGACATAGTCAAGACTTCTTTATTTGTTAAATGTTCCACCTTCGTACCTCCCCCCCTCACCCAGGTGATAAAATAATGACTTGTTCCTGATCCAAGGTCAACTGCAAATAAAAATATACAACACGCGTTGTCTTGACTTACCACATTTAGTACTTGACACATTAACTGAGCCCACGGCACAACAGGGTGGCGGTATATTCCCACCACAGCAGGATCGCTTAGCTGATATAGTGGATAAATTATACTTGCCATAGTTGGTGCCATTTTGGGTTATACGCGGAGAGTAGCTGTCCACGATTACCTTAGTAGATGTTGTCGTCAGGGTATTTATACAAGCTGTAAACTTTGTTGAAACTTGACTATCTGCCACATTCGTTGATGCAGTGAATATCATTGGAATTCTAAAAAAAATACTTTTCACTCCCGGCGGAGAGCTGAGTATATCTTTCCTGGTGATCAGGACACCACTGCACTTGAGAAGGGCGGGAACTTGTTGGAAAAGAAAAGAAAACTGCACTTTGGTGTATGTTATGGTGCTATTTGTGAGCCCTCCGTCAATTTGATAGTGGAATGTGACGTCGACTTCGTAGCATCTCATTATGTCGTAGTTACCAATCAGAGAAGCTTCTGAAATCAAAGAAAATAAAATTATAAACTACATGGTTCATTAAAACTTGTAGAGCAGTTTTCAATTCAGTGTAAAACAAACAGAACCAAAGTAATCCTTACGATCAATAGAGAAAAAGTTTACATTGACATTGGCTAAATTCTTCAAGCGGGAAAACACAAATGACCAATATATGGTGCACGATCCTCGCAGTAGATAGCGCTATTTAAGCAATAGCGAAAATCAGACCTGAAAAAAATCAGGCCTGTACGGGATTCGAACCACTGACCTCTGCGATACTAGTGCAGCGCTCTACAATTGAGCTAACAAGCCAACTGGGAGCAGGCCGTTAAGTTGATTCGTAATAAACCCGTGAAAGTGATAAATCAGATACAATGAAATATATGAAGTTCATATATTTTGAACTGCGGTATTAGATACATATGGTGCACGATCCTCGCAGTAGATAGCGCTATTTAAGCAATAGCGAAAATCAGACCTGAAAAAAATCAGGCCTGTACGGGATTCGAACCACTGACCTCTGCGATACTAGTGCAGCGCTCTACCAATTGAGCTAACAAGCCAACTGGGAGCAGGCCGTTAAGTTGATTCGTAATAAACCCGTGA